GGTGATGTCTGATATATATCTGTTGAACGAATGGCTGAAGTGTTGATTGCTGCAGGGATATTCCTACGCACGGCTGAGCCAAGGTTCTGTGCAGATGCGTGACTGGGCCTGGAACCAGCGGTTCCCGGGCCCTACCCTCAGGGGCTTCACAGACAAAGCGGGAAAGCCTATGCCACGTCTCAAATTGGCACGGCCAGATGCATGCTACATGAGCTCCAGGGTAGGAGACATGAGGCTGGGCAAGGGTATTACTAGGACCGTGAAGGAACTGTTTCTGATTTTAGACAATGGAATCAGAATCTATGCATGACTGCTTCCTTAGCACTCCAAAGAAAACAATTTAAAAGGAATAAGCTTGCCAGCTCCATCATGTAAATCCCAATACCTATTGCTTTTTCTGAATATCTCTAAGTTGAAATCACAGATTTTTCAAATGACTAAAGTAACAGCATAACTGGTCTGGAAAGATTATGTTTTATATTGTGACTAGGCTAAGGATATAAGAATTACCTTAACATTATACAATATGTAATCATTATTGAGTGGCCTGAATTAGAAGGCTGGCAGAATCTTCACTCAGTAATTCTGCTTGGACAGAATTCCTACTTAGAGCAAAAAACCTTCCTTCAGAATTTAAATACATACTTAAATTATATTTATATAAATTATATATTTAAATATTATATTTAAATGAATTGAGGATTAGGGTGTGGGGCACAAAACAAAATGATTTATTCTACTTCCCCTTTAAAAAAATGACTAATACTACTGAGGCAGGTATTAGCTCAGGCAGAGCATATAATCAGAACACTTGAATCATCCTAGACTAAATTACAGGCTGGACACTAAGCAAGACTGAGAAAGAAACATAGCATGAGAGAATTTATTTCATAAGAAAATTTTAATTTTCTCATAATCAAATTATTCAGATTTACCTTAAAATAACAACTATTGAGTGCTGAATATATTCCAGCCACACCACTGAGTATTTTCACATTATCTTAATCACCTCTAATAACAAATGAGGTAATGACTGATATCTCCAATTTCCAGAAGGGGAAACTGAGGCTTGAAGGGAATACACAATTTGCCTAAACGATAGAGCTTGGTAGTCAGGGAATTCAAATCCCAAGGATTCTTCACTCCAGGCTCTGTGCTAATTCAGCCATTGTATGGAAGCAGAGAATAAGCCTATAAGAATTGTAATGAAAGCCATGAAAATGTTCCTAGTGGTATTTTAGTAGAGGATTTTCCTGTGAAAATCCGAGATATTATTTTCAGGACCATGTAGGGTGTCACAGAAACTAACAAAGATGGTCAACTATCTATTCAATCCCTTCATCTTGTGAACAAGAATTTCAGAAATGCTTAGTTCTTAGCATTTCCTTGTCTATAAAGAGTGAACTTCCACACCTAATAAAGATGACCTTTTATTACATTTTCCCTCATGTGCTATATCTAGAAAAATCAGAGGCTTTAAGTTGGCTCATAAAAATCTTTGTCCCTTATTTCCATAATCAAATATTTTAAAGTGTTAGGGCTACTGAATTATATATAGCAGGGACCAAACATCTCATTTCATTAGTATTTCTTTAAACTACATTTTTAGAAGTAGAGATGAGATCAGGCTGGTCTCAAACTCATGAACTCACTCATTCCTCTCTCCTCAGCCTCTCAAAGTGCTGGGATTACAGGTGTGAGCCACTGTACCTGGTCAGGGACCAAACATTTCAATGGCTATAATCAGAAGATGATGCTTTGTCAGGATAGTTAATAAATTTCGCAGGTTTGTTTCTTTTTGAGATGGAGTCTTGCCCTGTTGCCCAGGCTGGAGTGCAATGGTGCAATCTCAGCTCACTGCAATCTCCACCTCCCGGGTTCAAGCAGTTCTCTTGCCTCAGCCTCCCGAGTAGCTGGGATTACAGGTGCCCACCACCATGCCTGGCTAATTTTTGTATTTTTAGTAGAGACAGGGTTTCACCATCTTGGCCAGGCTGGTCTTGAAATCCTGACCTCACGATCCACCTGCCTTGGCCTCCCAAAGTGCTGAGGTTACAGGTGTGAGCCACCACGCCTAGCCACAGTTTTTTAATTCTTTAAGGTCCACATGCTGAAAAGTCCAGAAGGGAGGTGACATCAGAACTCTTGTGATTTTCCTGGATCAATTAAGGCAGTTATAAAATAAACTATCATGATCTAGCAAAAGCTTATGAATAGACTCAGTGTCACTGTTATAAGTCACAGGAATTTCACTGCCAGTTAAACAAGTCAGCCCTTACAGGCCACACAAACAGAAGTATGATTTTCCACTCAGGCCCAGTACTCTGAAGAAACAGGAAAAGAAAGGGCCCCTGTTAATGGTGTGCAGTGTTGGATCTAAGTTTGAGACTTCTCAGACCAGAAGCAGGTCTGCCCTTTGTTGCCATCTGAAGGAATAATATCCAGGAAGATTTTAGCTGGGCACTTAGAATTTTTAAGTAGTGGCTTTCCTTTGTGGAGAAAAGTACTCAAACCAAGCACACACACATTAAAATTGGAGGAAAGTGTCAATCTGTGACCAAAGGTCATGTCTGCAAAATGGGCATGTATTTCTTGACCCTGAAGATGTATTCATGCAACAGGTTCCAAAAGCCAGAGAACAATTGCTTAAAATATTTTCCAAACCAGTCTCTAGTGAATTGGCAACATTTGGGTAACAAGTGAATGTCTGTGGAGAGCCCCATGCTGAAAAGGCAAGATTACTTCACTTTCACAGGGAATCAGGAGGGAGACACAAGCCAATGTTTACCTTGCAAAATCTTTTTCTTTTCCTTTAGACAGGGTCTCACTCTTGTCGCCCAGGCTGAAGTGCAGTGTCATGATCATGATCACGGCTCACTGCAGCCTTGACCTCCCTGGGCTCAGGTGATCCTCCTACCTCAGCCTCCTGGGTAGCTAGGACTACAGGTGTGTACCACCACGCTAATTTTTATTTTTATTTTTTTTTGTAGAGATGGAGTTTCACCACGTTGGCCAGGCTGGTCTCCAACTCCTGGGCTCAAGCAGTCCTCCCTCCTTGGCCTTCCAAAATGTTGGAATTATAGGTGTGAGTCGTCACCACGCCTGGCCCTCTAAAAGTCTTTTCTCTCTTTTTTTTTTTTTTTTTAAGGTGGATTCTCGCTCTGTCACCCAGGCTGGAGTGCAGTTGTGTAATCTTGGCTCCCTTCAGCCTCTGCCTTCTGGGTTCAAGCAATACTTCTGCCTCAGCCTCCTGAGTAACTGGGATTACAGGCATGTGCCGCCACGCCTTATTTTTTATTTTTAGTAGAGATGGGGTTTCACCATGTTGGCCAGGCTGGTCTTGAACTCCTGACCTCAAGTGATCCATATGCCTCAACCTCCCAAAGTGCTGGGATTACAGGTGTAAGCCTCTCTCAAAGTCTTTAAAAAGAGTTTTAACAATTAATCCTCGACTCTCATCACTAGGAAAATAAACAAGTCCATCTCTTCTCTTTGCCCTAAAGGAAATCAAATTGTTCTTTGTACCTGTGATTTAAATATGGTGGAGTAGGATAAACCTTCCCTTTAAAATGTCCAATATGGAAATATTCCAGATTTGCTTCTCTACTTCTCTTCTTTCCACCTACAAATAGCCTCTCCTAGGGCTATTCCAGGATGTTACTTATTTACTAGAAACCTCACTTTCCTTTGCACAAGGTTCTTGAGAATCCAGTCTGACCCCAAGAATCCCATTAACTTCCAAAGGCCATTTCCCTCCCCTTCCTCCGCCCTGAGGGAGAGAGGGTGGCTCAGAGGGGAAGGAGGTAACACCATATATTCTGAGATTTAGAAGCAGCAACTGGAAAGGAAAGTACCTGAGTTTGGGAGGGGACAAGGTGTCTCCACTTGCCTTTTCAGCAGACACTTCTGCAGTTTCCAAAGGGAAGGTGGAGACTTACCTGCTAAGAGTCCCTACTTTGGAGCTATCACAGGAAAAGGAGACAGATAAGGCCCTAGCCGCAAGGAAGTGCATCCCCAGGCCCAAGCTAGAAAACACACAATCTTGGCAAAAAATCAGAATCTAAATAGGAATAACTCATACCTCTGAGCAATGGCTCAGACATCCACCTGGTCCAGTGATCTACGAGGGGTGGATCACTTAAATACACCCTTGTTTAAAAACAGGCAAGGATGGCTTAAACATTATTTTAAATACAAAAACAACGTGGAGAGCAAGGAAGGCAGGAGGGGAGGCGGCTGAGTTCTTTTAGCTTTCTTCCCCGTGACCTCCCGTGGGCCACAATGGCACATCCCAGAATTCAGGCATGAATCTGGCAGCTTTTCAGAGCCCGGGTGCAGGCAGTTGGCGCTTGCCGCGTGGTAAGGCACCTTTCCACGCACTGCCCAGGGTGAGTGGCAGCAACGTTCTCAGCCTCCCGCCCCTAAGGGTCCGGCCCATCCCGGAGGCCAAGGTGCCTCTTCCAGTTCGACTGAGAACTGTAATCCACACTCAACCTCTGTCCAGGCAGCGTGGCTGTGGGTGAGGGGTGAGGCCAAGGTGCCTCTTTCAATTCGACTGAGAACTGTCATTCATCCACAATCTCTGTCAGGGCAGCGTGGCTGGGGGTGGGGGATGAGAAAGGTGTCGGTGGTAGGGGGAGATACAGTGCAGGATTAACAAAGAAAAAAATCTAACCCTGTTTTCAAACGAGCAGAACCGAGAGCTACTTGCTTCCGTTTCCACCCCCAAGCCCGTTTGATCATTTTGGGTAGAGCAGGAACCAGCAACTCAAAGAGCACTTAAATGGGAGTCCCTGAGGAGCTTTGTTCTTAGTGTGCAATAATCAGAACGCTTGGGGTAAAGCCCCCGCCGGGGGAGGGGAGCGAGGCTAAGACCTAGAGGGCGCCGAGGGACCCTGCACGGAGTGCGCCAGTGCCAAGCCCACCCTCACTGCCGCACGCGGCCTGGGCGCAGGGAGCGCGTGAGGGTGCGTGTATCTCCCACCCGCCGCGCTGCTCACCTAGCACCACCGCGGCCACAGTGGACAGCAGCAGCCAGTTATTCTTCAGGAAGCGCTTCCACTCACATCCCTTCCTCGCCGGTTTCCCCATGGCGGTCGCCGCTATTGTGCGTGGAGCTCGGCCGTGAGCGCGTGGGCTAGGCGACCCGGGGACCGCTGGCTGCTCGGCGGCTGGCGAGATGCAGGTGTATAGGAGATAGGTGACCGCTGGTCGCTGCAGTCGCCGCTGTCACCACCGCCGTTGCTGCTGCCACCTGGGATCGCGCACCGCACCAGCCGCCCAGCCAGCCTGGTGGTTTTGCGTGGCAGGCGCGCTCGGCTCCTCCTGCCGCCGCCGCGCTTGGCGGCGCCGGGGCCAACCAGCGAGGCAGGAGGGAGGAGCGGTGAGCCCGGGGAGGGAGGGTGGGTGGGTGCGTGCGTGGGGCGCCCGGGGTCCCCAGGGAGCAGGCGTGGGAGGGCGCCCAGCGCTGCGGCAGGAGCTGGGGCGGCCTCTCTGGGAACGCTGCGTCTTGCTCCACAGCCTTCCGCTAGAGTCTGTCTCGCTTTCCACGGCCCCCCTTATGTTAGGTCTTTGGGTTCAGGGCTTTCTTCTGTCCCTACCCCAGAGAGGCGGAGCCACTGACCCCCTCGGCGTGAACTTCATCCTGCACACCTCCCTCTCCTTTCTCCACACCAGCAATTTCCAGTGCCAGCACCTGGAGAACCGGGGCCCTTTCGAGTTGGGGGAAACTGATTTTGCCTTGGGTCTCTCTTGCCCCGCTACGCAAGCTGGGATTTGCCAGCAGCCGCAAAAGCCTGAAGCCTCTGGAAGGAGAGAACGGAGTCCTGGGGCAGAACAGGGCTTTGGAAACTTTCATGTGGAGCCTCCGTTGCCCCCACAGGGATTATTAACTCTCCTCTTAGAGTCGCGGGAGGTGATTTGTCTGTGGACACTGGGCTTGGAAGTGATCCCTGCACGCGGAGATGGTGATCCCTCTTAGAACTTTACTTCCGCTCCTTGGGACTTGCTCTGTGACCACAGGCCCTGGAGCTTGGAGAGTTGGTGTAGTAATTAGGACTGAGAACCGATTGGGGAGCTGTTCTGGGGAGAAAGTGGGCGGCCCATCTCTAAGGCCCAATGCATTGGAAAGGCAAACACAGGAGAAACTAGATTAGTAGTGCCAAATATACTTGGTGTTGCTAAGTGAATTTCTGATTCTCTCCCATTTTTCCACCAATTTTTTTTTCACCCTCACACAAACTCCTTTCCCCCCTTTACCAAATCAGTACCTCCACAGCTGTAAGCTGTCTTCTTACCAGCTTTCCTAATATTAAGCGAGGCTGGAACCCTTTTTGCTTATGGTAGAATCTACCCTGATTGAGGGTAGGGAGAATTTCCCCTACTAGATTTTCTAATGACTAAATCCTCACAATTAGAGTTTCATTCCTTTGGCGTAAATTGATACAAGCATCTTTGAAGCGATAATAGATTAAGATTTACAACCCTGTAGACTTTAGTATGAATGAGTTTATCAGCTCCTTTCTAGAAAGTAAACTTTGAGAGAAAGAAGGGTAGAGGGATATTAAGGTCACTGGGTGTCTGAGGAAGATGTAAAGAAATGTCAGAAGGGAAACTATAAAGAAAGAGAGAACAGTGCCCGGCGCGGTGGCTCACATCTGTAATCCTAGCACTTTGGGAGGCTAAGGCAGGCAGATCACTTGAGGTCAGGAGTTCGAGAGCAGCCTGACCAACATGGCGAAACCCCGTCTCTACCAAAAATACAAAAATGAGCTGGGTGTGGTGGCGGGCACCTGTAATCCCAGTTATTCGGGAGGCTGAGGCAGGAGAATCACTTGAACCCACGATGTGAAGGTTGCAGTGAGCCGAGATCATGCCACTGCACTCCAGCTTGGACAATGGGAGTGAAACCCTTTCTCAAAAGAAAAAAAAAAAAGAGAGAACAGATTTATCCCACAGTAAAAGGCAGCTGGAAAAAACTCAAATTACCAACATGAATGGTAAACATATTATGGAACTGCCAAGCAATATTACCTTATGCAGCCTATATAAAGGAAGTTTATGAAGTTTTTAACAGCATGGGATGGGATAGCATGTTATAAATCTATATTTATAAATATAAAGGGAAGAAAGAAATACTGAAATTGTATATACAATTTGATCACATATATATAAGTTAAACATACTGGCCAGGTACAGTGGCTCTCACCTGTAATCTCAGTACTTTGGGAAGCCAAGACAGGAGGACTGCTTCAGCCCAGGAGTTCAAGACCAGCCTGGGCAACATAGTGAGACCCCTGTCTCTACAAAAATTAAACCAACCAACAAGCAGATGGGAAAAAAACCATGTGCTTAGAAAAAATGACCAGAAGAAATATGCCAAAAATTTTAACAACAGTCATCTTTGCCTTCTGTCTTTTGTATTTTCAAAGTGTCTACCATAGAGCTGGGTGTGTCGGCTCACATCTATATTCCCAGTGCTTTGGGAAGCTGAGGCAGAAGGGTCACTTGAGGCCAGAAGTTGGCGACCAGCCTGGGCAATATAGTGAAATCTTGACTCTACAAAACTTAATAATAATCTGGGATAGCCGGGCGTGGTGGCACATGCCTATAATCCCAGCTACCTGGTAGGCTGAGGCAGCAGAATTGCTTGAACCTGGGGGGCAGAGGTTGCAGAGCCAAGATTGTGCCATTGCACTCTAGCCTGGGCAACAAGAGTAAAACTCCATCTCAATAAATAAATAAATAATATAATCTGGGCACGATAGCATACACCTGTAGTCCCTGCTACTTGGGAGGCTGAGGCAAGAGGATGGCTTGAGCCCAGGAGTTCGAGGTTGCAGAGAGCCTTGATTGCACCACAGTACTCTAGCCTGGATGACAGAGCAAGACCCTATCTCAAAAAACAAAAAGCAAAAAAAAAAAAAAAGTATCAACCTTAAGCATACCCATGCTCATCATAGTTGTAGATAGGGCACTACTTACAAAATAAACATTCCTGAAGGGAGAAAAAAGCGGAAGCACCTGAGAAACTATGTGTACATCACAACTATTTGGGTTGTAGTAAGACAATTACACCTGGGTTCTGGAGGTAAAGTATTTAGGTTCAAATCCCAGCACCATCGCTTATCAGCTCAGTGACCTTGGGCAACTTGCTAAATTTTTTATGTCTCAGTTTCTTCATCTGTAAAATGGGGGCATTAATTATCTTTACCTCATGGAGATAGTTTAAGAATTTAATATAATAATGGATGTGAAAGGCTTAGGACACTCTGACACAAAACTAATATTATCACCAATTTTACTTGGAGTCAACCTGAACAGGCATCTTTTAACACCATCTTTTAACACTTGCCTGTCATCAACACACCCTGAACCACTTCAGACCCATGAGAACGCTTGCTTATTGATCAACAGGAATTGCCCTTTAGAGGTTCAAGGGACCTTATATCACCCATTGCACTTTCACACTGGGGGGACCAAGGCTGCTGGTCCCCTGAAGATTTGCTGCAAAATCACTGACCTGAGGCAGATTTATTTATTATTATTATTATTATTTTTGAGACGTAGTCTCGCTCTGTCGCCCAGGCTGGAGTATGATGGCATGGTCTCGGCTCACTGCAACCTCTGCCTCATGGGTTGAAGTGATTCTCCTGCCTCAGCCTCCCAAGTAGCTGAGACTAGATGTGTGTGCCTCCATACCCAGCTAATTTTTTTGTAGTTTTAGTAGAGAAAGGGTTTCACCATATTGGCCATGATGGTCATCTCTTGACCTTGTGATCCGCCCATGTTCGCCTCCCAAAGTGCTGAGATTATGGGCATGAGCCACTGGGCCTGGCAAGAGGCAGATTTATTAATAGGAGAAAAGGCATACCAATGTATTTGACACATATACATGGGAGCCTTCCAAATGAAGCCCTAACCTCCCAGTGAGGTACAGCAGTTTATATACCATCTTGAGGTTACAGAAAGAATGGGGGCTTGAATCCTGGTAAAACAGGTTGTGGGAGGCGAGGATAAGACAAATTGCTGAGGGGATTACTAGGGAAAATGAATGGATCCCTGAACAGAGATTAATTTGTGAATAGTTCTCTTTGATAGTGAAAGTGTCTCTTCTGGTGTGGTTACATTCTTGTTCTTACAGGGAGGGGAAGAAGAACAAACAATTATTTTCCTTTTTGGGTCTGAATCTTAGGCAGATAAAGGCACTTCCACTTCTTTGTGAGAGATGGTGGCTGGGGAGGTCAGAGAGAACTTGAGGTTTCTCCATTTCAGCTTGTCAAAATGCCATATTTTGGGATATTGGTTTCTGAGTTCAACAACACTTAAAGCCTCTGTAGTGCCTACTTGTTTTATGCTCATTTAAATTATGCATTGAAAATAGTGCAATATAAAAGATTAATAAATTTCAGTATATACAAACATTTTGAAATAATAAAAATCTCCCCAACTAAAAGCAAATCAGGCCAGGCTCTGTGGCTCACACTTATAATCCCAGCACTTTGGGAGGCTGAGTAGGTGGATTGCCTGAGGTCAGGAGTTCGAGACCAGCCTGGCCAACATAGTGAAACCCTGTCTCTACTAAAAATACAAAAAATTAGCTAGGTGTGGTGGTGGATGCCTATAATCCCAGCAACTCAATAGACTGAGGCTGGAGAATCGCTTGAACCCAGGAGGCGGAGGTTGCAGTGAGCTGAGATGTCGTGACATTGCACTCCAGCCTGGGCAACAACAGCGAAACTCTGTCTCAAAAAAAAAAAAAAAGCAAAAGTCAGGAGTCTTAAAAGCTCAAATCCAATAGTGTAATCCCCTGATGGGTTCTTCTTGCCTGCTGCACAGATAGAGCTGATTCACTGAGACACTGGAATTGTTGTCAAACAGTTTAATTAATGCAAAGCTAGTCACATGGAAAGACAGGAGGTTATTACTCAAATCAGCCTCCCTGGAAACTTAGAGACTGGGGTTTTTAAGGATAACTTGGCAGTCAGGATTTAGGGAATAAATGCTGCTGGTTGGCTGAAGATAAAATCACCAGGGGCGTGGAAAGTGGTCTTTATGCTCTGAGTCAGCCTCTGGGGTGGGTCCACAGGACTGGTTGAGTTGTGGATCTGGGTGTGGTCAGCCAGTCCTCAGAAATCCAAAGGTCTGAAAAACATCTCAGAAAACCAACCTTAGGGCTGAGTGCAGTAGCTCATGCCTGTAATTCTAGCACTTTGGGAGGCCAAGGCAGGCGCATCACTTGAGGTCAGGAGTTCGAGACCAGCCTGGCCAGCTAGGTGAAACCCCAACTCTACTAAAAATTCAAAAATTAGCTGGCCGTGGTGGTACATGCCTATAATCCCAGTTAC